GGAACCCTGCCCAGAAGATGACCCCCCGTTCAACCCCCGTCCTTACTGTCTTGTGCATCAAGGGGAAGCCCAAAGCCACCCAACAGGTTCAGAGCTCCTGGTTGGTGGAGGCCATCAAGAACGTTCTCCCAGGAGCTTGTAAATCAAGCAGGGACAAGCGCGCCCGGGTCAGAGCTGGTGGATGGCGTGTCTGGGAAGTCCCCAGAGACCAACGCTGTCAATCACAGACCCGTAGGACAGCCCAGGTTGGCTCTGGAAAGATCCAGGTTGAACCAGATCCAACCTTCCGTGGCGAAGGCACCCTAGGTGAGATTATCATAGAATCATAGAATCATAGAATCATAGAATGTTTAGGGTTGGAAGGGACCACTAGTGGTCATCTAGTCCAACCCCCCTGCAGTGAGCAGGGACACTGCTAACTAGATCAGATTGCTCAGAGCCCCATCCAACCTGGCCTTGAATGTTCCCAGGGATGGGGCCTCCACTACCTCTCTGGGCAACCTGTTCCAGTGTTTTACCACCCAGGTTCATCATGAGAATCTCCAGCGATGGGGACTCAACCGCGTCCCCAGGGACAGCGAACAACTCGTCTCACTGTGAAGTTGAGATGAAACCAAAGTTGAGATGAAACCTCTCCCAGTGCAACTTGTACCCCTTGCCCCTTGTCTTCTCCACGTGGCTCCACCTGTTGCGTACGGGCCTACTGTGGTGAGGTTCCCCCCCGACCCCAAGCCCAACTCCTTCAGTCTTTCCTCCTAGAGCAGGTTCTCCAGCCCTTTGACCACCATCCTGGTGCTCCATGGGACCCTCTCCAGTCTGTCTGCATCCTTCTTGACTTGTGGGGAGCAGAAGTGGACACACCAGTCCAGGGGATGGCTGGAGGATGGCCAGGCAACCGAGGAGCCAATGAGGAGGGGTGCTCCACCAGGCCTCCCGCTTACAAACAAGGACAAGCTGGTTGGAGACGAGAAGGTCAGGGGCAGCCTTGGCTGCAGTGACCATGGGATGGTGGAGCTCAAGATGCTGAGAAGAGGGAGCTGGGCAGAAGGCAGGTTCACCGCCCTGGAGACTTCCAGGGAGCAGAATTTGGCTTGGAAGAACCTGCTTGGAAAAATCCCATGGGATATAGCCCTGGAGAGAAGAGGGGTCCAGGAGTGCTGGTTGATTTCCAAGGATCATCTTCTCCAAGCCAAACAACGAGCTGTCCTGACCAGCAGGAGACAAAAAGAGGCAGCTGGAGATCTGCACGGATGAGCAAGGAGCTCAAGGACAAGAGGGACGCGTACAAGCGGTGGAAGCAGGGATGGGTGACGTGGGAGGAAGATACAGACACCGCCCAAGGTGTGGGGTTGGGATGAGGAAACCAAAGCCCACCAAGGGTTGTAGCCAACAAGAAGATGGTCAGAAGCCATCAGCATGGAGTGAAAATGGGCTCAACGGCCAGGCCCAGAGGGTGGCCAGCAACAGCACAAGGTCCAGATGGAGGCTGGTCACTGGCGGTGTTCCCCAGAGGTCCATACTGGCGCCAGAACCGTTTCACATCTTCATTAACGATTGAGATGATGGGGCAAGAGTGCACCCTCAGCAGGTTTGTAGGTGACACCCAATGGGGTGGAGTGGTTGATGCGCCAGAGGGTCATGCTGCCATCCAGGGGGACCTCAACAGGCTGGAGAGATGGGCCAGCAGGAACCTTGGGGGGGTTCAACAAGGAGAAGCACCACAACCTGCATGAGGAAGGAACAACCCCTGGCACCAGGACATGCTGGTGCCCACCCAGCAGCTCCTCAGAGAAGGTCCTGGGGGCCTTGGTGGACAGCAAAAGTCAACAGAGGAACCGGTTGCTCAGAGGGATTGTGGAGTCTCCGGTCTTGGAGATAACCCAAAACACAACCGGAGGAGGTCCTGGGCAACCTGCTCCAGCCGAGTGGCTCTCAGCAGGGTCCTGTCCAGCCCTTCCACGCTTCTTCAGCTTGAGACAAGCTTTTGGGGAAGACAAATTCCTTCCAAATTCCTTCCAAATTCATGCCAAGTTCTTCAGTTCTTTCCAAATTCCTTCCAAATTCTTAATTTATGCAGAAAATTGGATTCAGGTGGAACACCCAGTGCTGGGGGTCCTTGCTGGGCCTCCTGCCCCTCTGCGGCACAACGCCAAGTTGAGCAAAGTCGGTTGTCTTTTATCAGAGCCAAAAATCCATCCGGCTCTCAGAAGGGAACATCCAACTGAGCAGCAACCGTGTCCCATAGAGAGCTGGCGTCAACACAAGAGCCCGGGTCCCATGGGAAGGTGCACCAGGCCCCCAGAGGAAATTTTTACTCCACTTCGCTTTGGATTTAATGGAGACCAAAAAGCAGCATCAAGACCTCCAAATGATTTTGTGTCCTGTGTAAACCCCGAGCATGCTCACCCCTTTCAAAATAGACCTGAAAACCCGCGAGGCCATTTTTGGAACCAAAAGGGAAGATTTGGTGAGTTTTAGTCGGGGTAACCCCACGCTCACACAGCCACAGCTGCGCTTCGCAGGCCAACTCCCCACAACCAACTTGTGGTGTGTGTGTGTGTGTGTGTAACACCCCCAAAACCAAACACCAAGGCCCTGAGCCGTGAGAAATTCCCTGCTCATAAATCAAGAGTCGCTTGCTTTGCTTGACCTCTGCAAGATTGACCTGCCCCTCCTCATTCCTGACAGCCCACGGATTTATTTGGCTTTTATTTGTTCCCACAGCCCAGCTCTGATCTGTTTGGACACTTTGATAGCCCAGGAATAAAAACACAGGGGGCCAGGCGAGGTGGCACCTGGCTAACCTTACCGGTGACAACCTCAGCGGGTAAAGTGAGGGCATGGCCGAGCCATCAGCTCTGGAGCAGGGCCAGGGGGGAAAATCCTCCCCCCACGACGCCAGGCATAGAATCATAGAATCACTTTGGTTGGAAAAGACCTTTGAGATCATCGAGTCCAACCTTTAACCTCACCCTGCCATCCCAACACTAAACCCTGGCCCTAAGCACCGCATCCGTCCTTCTTTTAAATACCTCCAGGGATGGGGACTCCACCACCTCCCTGGGCAGCCCATTCCAGAGCCTGACAGCCCTTTCTGTGAAAAAATTTTTCCTAATGTCCAACCTAAACCTGCCCTGGCGCAGCTTCAAACCATTCCCCCTCGTCCTATCAGCTGTTCCCAGGGAGCAGAGGCCGACCCCCACCTCACTACAGCCCCCTTTCAGGCAGTTGTAGAGGGCGATCAGGGCTCCCCTCTGCCTCCTCTTCTCCAGACTAAACACCCCCAGTTCCCTCAGCCGCTCCTCATATGACTTGTGCTCCAGACCCCTCCCCAGCTTGGTTGCTCTCCTCTGGACATGATGTTCAGCTGCCTGTCGACCAACACCCCCAGGGCCTTTTCCGTCGGGCAGCTTTCCAGCCCCTCTGCCCCACACCTGTAGCGTTGTGTGGGGTTGTTGTGACCCCAGGGCAGGACCCAGCCCTTGGCCTTGTTGACCTTCACCCAATTGGGCTGGGCCCACGGCTCCAGCCTGGCCAGGTCCCCCTGTAGAGCCCTCTTCCGCCCCAGCAGATCAACACTCCCGCCCAGTTTGGTGTCATCTGCAAATTTACTGAGGGCACACTCAATCCCCTCATCCAGGTCGTTGTTAAAGACATTAGACAAGACTGGCCCTAGAACTGAGCCCTGGGGGGCACCACTTGTGACCAGCCACCAACTGGATTTAACTCCATTCCCCACCTCTCTGGGCTCAGCCATCCAGGCAGTTCTTAACCCAGCAAAGAGTGCACCCATCTAGGCCACGAACCACCAGCTTCTCTAGGAGATGCTGTGGGAGATGGTGTCAAAGGCTTTGCTGAAGTCCAGGTAGACACCATCCACAGCCTTTCCCTCATCCACCAGGCCCGTCACCTGGTCGTAGAAGGAACTCAGGTTGGTTAGGCGGGACCTGCCTCTCATGAACCCAGGCAGCCGGAGGGGAGGCTCTGAGGGGGCTGGGAGGGAGCTGAGGAAGGAGGAGGGCGAGGGAGGGGAGGCAGCACGGGGGCTTAGCCCCGCAGGACGCCCGAGAGGGGCAGCCCCGGCGGCACCGCCCGCTCGCAGCCCCACAGCGGCCCGGCCTCCTCCCCCC